AGCGCAAAAACATCCCTCAAATAATCTGCTTTGTGGGGTTCATTTACTTCATTCTACAAGGAGACTTCTTACAAAACTGCTCCAGTGTGAACTGGTCTTGCTCCGGGTGAAAGGGCAGTACACTTAAATGGAAACAGCAAAAGACAAAACAAACAAAAAAACAAAAGAACAACAACAACAACAACAAAAAACAAAAAATCTGAAAGCGCTCCTCAATAGATGACTCTCTTGGTCAATTATTTGTCAGTGGCTTCCTGTGGTCACTATTCACTGAAATTCTGAAACCATGTCATGCAAGTTTACAGGAGAAAATGGTTTGTTTTATCAAAATTTGAATATATATATTTTTAAAAATATATACTTTTATTGATTTCAGAGATAGGAAGAGGAAGGGAGAGAGAGATAGAAACATTGATGATGAGAGAAAGTCATCAATTGGCTGCCTCCTGCATGCCCCCTACCGGGGACCAAGCCCAAAACCCGGCATGTGCCATGACAGGGAATTGAACCAGTGACCTCATGGATTGACACTCAACCACTGAGCCACACTGGCTGGGCTAATTTTTAAGTCTTTTAATATACCTCCAAAGACCTACATTTTGGAAAATACTGCTAGCAAACTAAAGGGAGAAAAAAACCTTCAAATAAATGGAAAACAATTGACTGAGAAAACATTTTTTTCCTGTGTTTCTTTTTTAAAGAAGTAAATTAGTCAGTGAACCTGTTGCCATGTTCAACTTCATTAATTAAAAATTAAGATAAATTATTTAATAACTAGAGGCCTGGTGCACAAAAATTTGTGCACTCAGGGGGATCTCTCAGCTTGGCCTGTGCCCTCTCGTAGTCTGGGACCCCTTGGGGGATGTCCACCTGCTGGCTTAGGCCTGCTCCCCAGGGTATCTGGCCTAAGCTGGCAGTCAGACATCCCTCTGGCAGCCCGGTAGCCCTTGGGGGATGTCCACTTGCCAGTGGGGAACAGGCTTAAGCTGCAGTCAGACATCCTTAGCACTGCTGAGAAGGCAGGAGAGGCTCCCGCCACCACCACTGTGCTGGCAGCCGTCAGCCTGGCTTGTGGCTAAGCAGAGCTCCCCCTGTGGGAGCATACTGACCACCAGAGAGGAGCTCCTGCATTAAGTATCTACCCCCTGGTGGTCAGTGTGTGTTACAGTGACCAGTCATTACCAGTTGTTCTGCTGTTAGGGTCAGTTTGCATATTACCCTTTTATTATATAGGATAGAGGCCTGGTGCATGGGCGGGGGCCGGCTGGTTTGCCCTGAAGGGTGTCCTGGGTCAGGGTGGGGGTCCCGCTGGGGTGCCTGGCCAGCCTGGGTGAGGGGCTGATGGCCGTTTTCAGGCTGGCCAAGCTCCCCAGCAACAGAAGCTCCCAGCCTCTACTTTTTTTCTTTCTTTTTTATTCTGGGATTTATTTACTTTCTATAATTGAAACTTTGTAGACTTCAGTGGAGCTCAGAGCTGGCTCCTGCTCACTCCAGCTCCGTGGCCACGGCCGGCTAACAGCAGGTATCTGGGGTTTATTTACCTTCTATAATTGAAACTTTGTTGCCTTCAGTGAAGCTCAGAGCCGGCCAGGAAGCTTGGCTTCCTCCATCACTGGAGCAACCAAGCCTCCTTCTTGCTTCAGCTCCGTGGCTGCTGGCCGCCATCTTGGTTGGGTTAATTTGCATATAGCCGCTCTGATTGGCTGGTGGACGTGGCTTAAGGCGTAGCGAAGGTATGGTCAATTTGCATGTTTGTCTTTTATTAGTGTAGATTATACTATATAAATTATTTATTATTTATTAGTGTAGATTATACTATATAAATTATATTAATGGTTTTTAATAGAAATAGAAAAAGAATGGAAATTAATAATCAAGATTATTAGTAAAAATAAAAATTAATTAAAAATAAAGAACATTGGTTTGAAGGAGCATCAAATTATTCATGTACTCAAGATGCAGTGTTGAGGTCGGAATTGGAAATCTCATTTGGAGAGAAATGTCAGATGGAAAAAAGCGGGACGGGAGGGCAAAGACCTTGGAGAGTAGTCTCAGGCACTCAGATTTTATCCCATTTCTCAGGAAAAGACTCCTAAAGGTACACAGTGAGCAAAAGTAGGCCAAGTGTTGCCGCCATATGTAGGATGGACTGAAGATGATGTACAGGGAGGCCAGTAGAGACTGTTGAAGTAGTTAGGCATGCGATAGTGACAATCCAGCCACAAAGTGGTTTATCTTTAATAAACCACTGCCACATTCTGAAGAAAAATTAACACTGCTTTGTGACTGACCAGATAAAAGAATTTCGAGAAGACATGAGTGATCATCATGAAAGAGCAGGTGAACAGTGGCACCATCACAAAACAAGGAGTTTGAAGCAGAGAGCTAAAGCTCATTGGAGGGATAAAAAGAATCAATTGATCTGGAAGATTTAGACACACCAAAACATGGGTTAAATTAATATGTAGCTGTGGAGAGGCTGTGTTAGAAGAGTCCTCCCTTAGCCCACATACATGTTTGTAAAGGTACAGTCAGCACAAAATAAGATAGCAACAATAGCTCTCCTCAAGGCATGCAGAGAAGAAATGCCCATGAAACATACATTATTTTCAAACCCCTTAGGTCATTCACATATGGACCCTAACACCAACTGCTGTCACATATTGACTATAATAAGCAATAGAAGATACGGAATTTCAAAGGCAAGCTCAAGAAAATATTTTTCCTCTTTACGTCCACATATATCTTCTGAACTGAAATAAAATATCCCACATATAATCAATCATTTTCTTTGCTGAGCAACAGATTTATTATTCATTTACTAAAAAAAACATGTTTAGCACAAAGATATGTTCTGTAGAAAGATAAAGCATAACACTTTTCAGATTTTCACTGATTTTTTAAAACAACATTTCTCAAGTGGTAGAACTATATAAACACAGACATGAAAAACACCAACATCACATTTAAAAAAAAATTGGCAAGCACACTTGGCTTTAATGAAAAGAAAATTAAACTGGTAGCTTTGGAAACACAGCATTCTGTGAGTTGTGTACATGTTTCCTCAGGAAAAATTTACATTTGTTCCAAATCACATTTATCTATAGGAATAATACAAATCCAATACATATTTAAACTCAGTTGTGTCAAGAAGATAAATAATAACCATAGGCATCAGGTCAGGAAAGAACTGAGCTCTTAAGACAGACAGGCATTCTTACTTAAAACCATTTGATTAAGTTAATTCTCAGCACACTCAAGGTAATCTTATTGATTGGATTAACAATGGCTAAAGTTAGAAGTGATGAAATTTCCACTTGCCTTAGATTGCTATTACTATGATTATCTTAAAATTTTTGAGTCCAGCTTTTCATTACAGGTAAATAAGGTTCATTTCTTTCCATCTATGTAATAACCTGTCATAGGTAATAACTTAGAAGGGTAGAAGAATAAAGAAAACAGGAACAAAGGAAGGGACTAATATGTGGAGGAGAGAGGAAAATTAAATTAATAAAATAACTTAACTAGCTTTCATTATTACTCAAAAGTCATTCTACCAGAGGTATACAAAGACAGAGGGGGATGCCAGGGCCGAAGTCCATGAACTTAAAATCTATGTAGGGAGACAATAAGTTCCACGTATGTGATTCAAATAACAAAAGAATAAAATTTCCAATAGTGTATTGTATCAAAGTGTATGAAAAAATGCTGAGAAAATCCGGTGTCATCAAAACAGGTACTAAAAAGAACATGTATATGTGATTATGCTCTAAGAAAGATGTAGGATTTGGCACAGAAATCCCAGCCAGGAGAATAGCATAGGTAACTTTAGCAGAAATGGGCAGGTTGTTTGCAAGCCAGGAATAACTCAGAGCAGATCTACAGCGGAAGCACAATAGGCAAGGAGGGCTAGTTAATAGAGGCTGAGGCATCAGAATCTGATTCAAGATCTCATAAGGAGCCACTGTAGTTTTTTAAACAGGAAAGTAGTTTCAAAAATATTCACACATTGTATGTCCATTATGTTAAAACTATCTCTTGGGTTTAATAAAAATTTGATTGAACTCATGTTTGTACGCTCAAAGTTGACCTGGCTCTCATTCTGGAGGCATCATGATTGACATGATATGGTTTATATGTTTATATGATGAAAAACTAGACTTAACAGCCTACCTAACAATCCAACAATCTCACTTTTTAATAAACTGACATAAAAGGCATTTATAGTTGGCTATGTGGACAATGATTAAAAAGATGGTTCCCCCAAATTTATTCCCAAATGACTGAATAAATAAATGCACATAGTGTTATGGGCTGCATTGTGTCCTCCAAATTAAATGTGGAAGCTCTAGCCCCCAATGTGATAGCTATTGGAAATGGGCCTTTGGGTGGTAATTACTTTTAGATAAAGTCACAAGGGTGGAGCCCTCATGATGGCATCAGTGCTCTTATAAGAAGAGACACCAGAGAGTTTCTTTTCTCTATCCTGTGAGGACATAGTGAGAAGGTGACCACCTGAATTAGCCAGCACCTTTATCCTGGACCCCCCAGCCGCACAAGCTCTGAGAAATAAATTCCTGCTCTTTAGGCCATACAGTCTATGGTATTTTGTCATGGCAGCTTGAGCTGACCAATACATAGTGTCATTATAAACAATCTCAGAGACTTCACTGATCCTCTCCTCCACATCTTTCCCTAAATTTTCCTTGGCTTTTCCTTATATGGATGGTAGGCAAGGGAAGCATGAACTCATATTTATTAAATTTTAGTTAGCATCTATAAGATGCTCTATATATGTTACCTAATTTAACCTTGGCAAGAATATGTGACACCATGATCTATAAGAAGTATTTCAAGACAATTTTATTGAAAAAAAAGTAATAGAAAATGTACACATTTTATAACCCACAATTAGGAGTCTTCTAAATAGTATACATATATAACTAATTTATATATGACAACCACAGTGGACAATGAAAATAAAACACTCCTTGATAACGTTTCTTAAGGATAATCAATAATTTATTTCTCTTTTATTGTCACAATTACCACAATTATCTAGCTACATGACCAATGTCACTACATATCACAGGAAGATTGTCCACCTACACTTTACTGAGACAAAGACAACGGCCATTTATGTGCTAAATGTACAACGGGATGTTAAACTGAGGTGGTTTTTATGTATAAGATGTGGTACATGATTTATTAACAGATTTGATTTAATACGAATTATGCCAAGAAGCAAGTATAGAAATGTTTTGGCATTGACTTGTTATTAAAGTAGAAAATAAGTAAATTAGAGAAATAAATCCAGGTCTTAACTTACAATAGATACAATAAAATAGGAAATTAATTGGCTCCTCAGAATTTTTGTTCAAGTTTTTTTTTGTTTTCTTTCCTTTTGTTTTTATATATAAATGAATAATATGAATATATCACAAGTTAAAGAAAGTCCTCAGGGGGAAAAAAAAAAGGTACGAGTATATGAAAAACAAATGAAAAGTTACCAGGTATTTTTGCCTTACAAAAAATTTAAACTATAAAGAGTCAGAAAATATATATAAAAACGCCACATTGAACGAGGCAATCATACTCTACCCAAATTGGTAGCACCCTCTTAAAATCAGTTGCATTCCATTCCCATTCACTCGGTCATACAGTGGTGACTGACAAAAAGGCATTATGAACTCGCGTGCCATCCGGAGACTTGGCCCCATGGGTCATCAGTTCTTGGATTGTCATCCAGTTGTCCAAAATTTTCTTGTTTCTCTTCTTCATCATCTTTTTGTGACTCAGTTCAATGATGTTGATCTCCTTCTTGCCCTCACTGCCGCTCTGAGGGCTCTCCTTGAGACACTCTAACCGGCTCCGCATCATGAACTCGCGGCGCCGACGCTGCTCTTTGGCCCGAACCAGGTGTTGCTTTCTTTCCTCTTTGCTCCAGTAGCGACCCATTTTCATCTCGCTCATAGTGTCATCATCCGTCGTCATGCCACTCCGCTCCTCCTTGATCTTTAAGGCACGTTCCTTCAGAATCCGGTCTCGCACTGGTCTCTTTGTGATGTACCGGGTCCCATCGCTCCGAATTTTCACCTTCCATTCCATCTTGGGTTCCGAACACTTCTGGGACTCCTTGCACATGCTCACCAGACTCAGCTGACTCTGGGCATACTCGACGGCAGATTTCTGTTGAATTAACTGCATGTAGCTTTGATAATGCCGGGCGTGGGCTGGTATGTTGGCATACCTATATGAGGAGCTGTGGTAAGGAGAGAGGTAAGGGATGTGTTCGCTGCCGGTCTTCTCTTGATCAGAAAGCTTGTTGCTTTCTGAGATCTTCTCCTTGCCTTCGATGCCACCACCTTCGGTGGTTTTGGCTTTGGTGGAGGTCGACTCTTTACTGCTCTGTCCAGGAGAGGACTGGCTGGCTGCCATGGTGCTTCTCAGGTTTTTCTTATTGGTGAGGTTGATCATTCTGGGAAGGGAGCTGTCAGGGGAACGGTCCACGGTGAGCGGCGTGCTCCTGCAGCTTTCGGCGGTGTTGTAAGCACTAGAACTGTCCTTGTCTGACTTCTCTGGGTGCTCAATGATGTCATCTAGTTTTCCTCTTTGCATATCGACGCTGGTGTTATAGTTTCGGAATCCTCCATCATGCAATGCCCAGATGTCTCCGTACTGGTCTGTTACCTTCTGGAGCCTATGAGCTTGCATGATATTCTGGCACTCAAGTTCAATGTTTCTTAGTTCTTCGTTCAGCAACTGTAGCTCATGCTCCACTCCCTCTTGTTCCCCTTGGTTGCATTCTATTGTGCTGCTCGAGTAATACAGGTCGTACTCTCCATGGTTTTGAATCTTGCATTTGAGCTCCAAGAGCTGCCGGAATCGCTCACACTCCTCATCTTGGTTGCCAGGGCAGTCCGAGTCAATGTATTCACCTGACACAAAGCTCTCATTGCACTGGAGTTCCACGCTCCCCAGGGTGTCCTGGCTCTGCCCAGCTCTCTCTTGCTCTTCAAAGATGTGCTTTTGGGATCCTCAGCCGCATTCTCCTGCTCTGAGCTCTCATCGTTCCGCAAGCTTTCATCCGTGCGCCCCACTCCACTGTCCTTCTCATGGTTGTTGGATGAGGATGTGGCCGTGTCTGTTGTGCCTTCTTCTTCTTCTTGTTTTTTTGGCTAAGAAAACAATGTTGAGGGAAACAAAGAAAACACGGATTGTTGAAACACTTGCTGTGAAAACAATGCTTCTTGGCAAAAGTGCGGTTCCTAAACAGCTGCGGCACGTTCAGTATCCACAGCAACGTCAGAAATAAAGGCAGTTAGCCCAAGGCGGCTTTTTATGCCATGAATTAAAGACAACAAAAGCTGACTGGCTACGCTACTCACTTGGGGATAAATAAAACAGGACACAGTTAAATAAGCGATTCTTATCTTAAGGCTTTCTCTTACTTGGAAAACTGGTGTGAAGGTATGTGTATGAGTTTCTGGGGTGATAATACACAAGAAAATGAGTAAGACAGAGTGTCTGTGGTCCTTAGCAATATGGAGGCCTAGAGTTCAGAAGCCACATCACCTTATTTTTTTTTCCTGAATCTTAAGTTCAGAGGACATTTTATTGATCTAGTAATACACTGGTAATGGTTAGCCAAATGTCACAAAATTTCAGGACTAGGTTAGTATTGGAGCCTAGGACCTTCTATCAGTGTCAGGCTTTCTTATGTGTCCAGAATGCCATATTCCTGCACACGTGTGCTTTGACCTCAGTGCATCTCCAACTCATGTGGCTCAGAAACAACAATAATGTCTTAGGACTCATTTGGGGGTACTTCAAAAGATTCTTCTATTCTTAACCAGTAATTTCCTTCAAAGGCTTTATTCTACGGAGAATAAAAGAACAGTTCCCTTGAAAGTCTGAGCCACACTCATTGCCAGATGTGGGCATAATATAAAATATATATATGGTAATTTTTGGCTTTCACACAGAATAATAAACTGCCACTGAATCTCCTTATATCTAGTTCTTTCTCTGTGAAGAGGGCCAAGTTACTTTTCCCCACCACTCCTCGTATAGTCTACCTGGCAGTTTCTAGACTATAGTTTCCTGTCTGAGTTTTTTTCTCTAGCAGGAGTAAGTATATAATTAAGCCTGTTAATGTTAAAGAAGGGCAGAATGGGTGATAAAAGGTATTCTGGAACAGGTCTGAAGGGCCTCCCCAGATACTTCTTTTCTTCCCCATAAGTAATGAGGAACAAAATGTAACAGATGGAGAAGGGGAGAAGGTGGCCATGCGTCATGTTACTCTAGGATTCTCAATCTTTCCCTAAAATACAATTCCTCATTTGGCAAAAACATGCTGAGATTGATTTTAAGCGCCTTATTGATGAAAAATAGTGTTATAAATCATTGTAACTCACAATGGAAAGCCAGTTACATCCCTATGCCCCTCCCTATCAGCTTATAACAATATTAAATGTGGTGACATCTGCATGCTGTTCCCGGAAATCCCCGGGGGATATTACTGATATTGGACATTTGAGTCTCTGTACCACATCATTTACACTGATATTTTTCTATATCTAATGATAAGCTGAAACAAATACAAGAATACTAGTATTTTTTAAATTTTTCATGCAGTATAAGTGATATAAACAAATTATGCTATGGGAGATGTTATACAATGTGTCAAGAGCTGCTACAGGACCAAGGATAGCCTGTGAAATGAAACTTTCACATGGTGATGTATTTTAGTTTTTAAATATGGATATGCATTTTCAAATTGAAGTTCCCTTTCTTTTGTCACTGGTTTATGAACAAATGAGAAAATAAAGGAGTTTTTATTTTCTATTCTCAAACCCAGAATTCCTAGTTTCTAAGGCGATGCTACTCCATCGTTTATCATTTCCCTACAGAATTATTATAGTGACAGGCAATGTTTCTACCAGGACATTCCTAATGTAGGATTATTGTTTATAAGGGCAAAGGACTTTTAAGGGTTTTTGCACTTCTCATCATATTTCAGTCTCCTGGTGAAGAAAAATTTCCACACAATAAAAATCTAACCTCAGGGACATCTAGCGTTCCCTCAAAAGACCTAGCATTTGTATTATATCTGATGAGTAGGCAGCATTTGACACCGTATCTCTTCACCTGGACAGGATTTCTCCTTCTCTCTTTATTCCAACATCCCCTTGTCAATTCTGCATCAGGCCACATTTTGTATCTGAGAGAGAAAAGTCCTGGAGCAAGGTCTTTCTTGCTTGTAACCAGCAGCTGCCACCCGAAAATATCTTTATTCGTGGCCAGTGTTGAAGTCATACATCCAAATTTCAGCCTGTCCTATATTGAAAAGGATCACTATGGTAGCAGCATTGCTTCGAGCATGAACTACTCTTTATGAGGTGGCCAATGAGCATCCGTGATCAGGGCAGAGTATAGAGCCTTCATGCCTATGTTGACATTGTCGTTTGCAATCTCATAATTTATTTAGTATATAGACATGTGCACATACATGCACATACATCTGCATTACGGGATGCTAGCATGTCAACATATTTCATTATTTAGCTTGGTAAAATGATAGGATGTTTGTGTTTTACATTCCTAACCCTGTCAGGATATTTTTAAAATTATCTTTTAAGATGTGTTAAGGATTCATGTCGAGAATAGGATGATAATTAAACAAATCAGTAAACTGACAGCAGAAGTGTTAATAAAATACATTAGGCAGATGAATGTCATGAATCTTACATAAACAAAATCTAGGACATATTGATCTTGTTTGTATCTAATAGGAAAACAACAACAAAAAATGAAATGACTTGGTTTGCTCCAAACCACGGTGTGATCTTTTACTAGTTACGAATTAATTAAGGGCAGGAACTTTGCTCATTTTTCTTTGTATTCTCAGGATCAAGTGTGGTGCTGGGAACACGTGTGGAGCTCAGAATTTTTCACTGAATAAATAGGTGAGCCTATTTGATGTCAATAATTTCAAGTAGAACTGCTCCTATTTTTAGCATAAAGGTATCATCATGATGCCAAAACCACAAATAAGATGGATGGTTTACATCATGTCATTATCTTCCCTTAGTTGCCTACATATTCAAATACACACATTAATTTTAAAGTATAAAATGACTGTTTCAGGGGAGGAGTCACCTTAGGAGTTGTAGTTTGTCTCCAGCTGGCATACTGAGAGGCAACATGCATTTTTACTATTAAATTTCTGAATTAGGTTGAACAGTATCTGGGTCAGCATTTGAATACTACTGTACACTATTGACAACAGTCCCTCAGCTACCCAAACTAGAAATATTCTTAATAGAATAAAATTGTATGTATTCCCACTGCTTCATTTGAGATTATCATTGTTCTCAAAATTACCATTATAGATATGTTTGATCAGACTCTTTGATTTTTTTTTACTCCATTTATGGTTATACATTAAAAAAGAGAAGTAGCAACATTTCAAATGATGTGGTTCAAATTGTTGGCCCTACCTGCTCCACCTCATTGGCAGTGTGCTGCATTGCTTCATTATGCTGTTCTTCCAGCATCTCCAAGTTTAACTCCTCTAAGAATTCGTTCCTTTCATCTTCCAGCCAGCCTTCGTCCAGCTGCACAAGAATACATTAGTGCTTTCTATTAGATTAGTGAGAACTCATGCTAAAATAGGGGAAACTTAAATGGCGATGCCTGACCAGTTCCTTTTATCATAATGATTCTCTTTAGAATACCAGCCTGATAGTTCACCTCTCAGAAGGAAGAAAAGGTGTTAAAAAATGTATTCTTATGCCTTTCATCCTTTCCTAAGAGAGAGCTACAGATTTTCTCTCATAACCCAGTGGATCTCCCAGCACAGGCGTGACTGTCTTTCACAGTGTATGAAAAGCCCACTGTCCATCCTCAGCTGTCATCTCATTACCTCCAACTATCCCTGTGTTGAAGAAATGCACTGGTACTAATAGGGCCACGAGATGATAGGACTTTTTCCCTTAATAATTGCCCCCCTCCCCCTGCCAATGTGACTACAAAGTGCCCTCCCCACTCTGACTCTACCCTCATGCTGTTTTTCGAGTTTTAGGTGAATGGATTCCAAGTTAACCAGATGGCAGCTTGCCACAAACAGACATCTTCATTCTATTTGGAAAAAAAAGTCTAAGTTGTTGTTCTTGACAACAGTAAAACCAAAAAAGTGATGCTATTTCATGTTTATTTCAATTCATTTTGCAGGCCCACTTGCAAATGTTGCATTTCACGGTAGTGGAGTGAGCACACAGGGTTGTGTTCGTGGGTGCTGAACACAGGGATTCCTGTGGACATCTTATACCAATTACACTGAACGGATCCCTTTGGCTTCTCAGTACAAAATGAAATGGAAAACTGGTGGTTACCTTGCTAGTATGATGAGTGTTGACAGCCAATACAGATAATTTTTCTCCAAGTGGATTTTAGAGCTGGATTACATAAATTAGCTGTCTATGCTGATTACGTTAACTGAATGATTGGCAAACCTCTGCTTCACTCTGTCTTACAGAGAAACAGCAGCTTGCTAGTGAGCCAAAATTGACAATAATTTCAGGTGTTTTCACCACTAAACAAATGGGCAGAGTAACCTTTTAAAGATAAGTAAATCTAACACTTAAAAACAAGTCTGACAGAAAGACTTTAAAGGGCACCAGAAGAGACATTCTTGTATAGGTATCATTAACATGAAGGCAATCGTAGGTTTCTTGATATTTATTAAAGGGTATCTAGAACTAAAATTATCTGAAATTTTTGGGGGGCCAAGAGCCTGGACACATTTATTCATCTTCATTTATCTGAATGTAGCCTTAATAACTTGATCAAGCTCCACCCCACCGACTTTGATATGCAGATGAACTATGAAAATTAAGCAGACTAAAAATTTAAATTCAGTCCAATTTATAATTGTCCAAGTTTTACATTCTTCTTTTTCTTAAATCCTCACCCTTGGATACTTTCTCTATTGCTCTATAGAGAGAGTGGAAGGGAGGAAAGGAGGGGGAGAGAGAAACATCAACTGGCTGCCTCCTGCGGGTGCCCCCCAACCAGGGCTGCTGATCAAACGTGCAACCCAGGCATGTGCCCTTGACCAGGAATAGAACTTGAGACCCCTAGGTGTGCGGTCTGACACTCCAACCACTGAGCAACACCGGCCAGGGCAAGTTTGACATTCTTTAATCCCGTTAAATTTTCCTGAAGCTGCTAACAGCAGATTCCAAAAGAAATGACGTGAAGCTTGAAATGTTTACTTTTGATAGACACACTGAGGAATTTTTCTTAAATCAGGTCAAAACAAAATATTTGCTGACACTGACACAATGAAGGATGGAACGTCTTCTGAAATTTAAAGGAAGGGGTGGGAAAGATAAGGAGACCACAGGGTGGAAATGAAGGGTTCCCTATAACTCCTTTTCTTGTTAACGAACCCCACGGATCCGCGAGTTGCCTTGTGCCTTCAGTGTGTGTCTGCTCTGATTAGGCTTTCCTCTGGGCTGGAAGTACAGACACACAATCAGGAGAGATTTCTCTTGCTTACTCCCTTCCTCTCCCCGTCCCTTTCACCTAGATGTGCATTCCTGGCAGTCTGCCCAGGGCCTTGGCGGAGACAGAACTTTCCCCTGAGCTGAGCTGCAGGGAAGGGGGGACTGTCCCTGTGATGCAGGGGATCCGTCTGCACGACAGTGGGTCTCACCCTGGTGTTGCAGAGAAAGAAACAGCCTGTACTGTCACCAAAGCAGTGGCTACAAATTCTTATGAGAGCTCTCTCTGCCCCCATGTCCCCAGGGGAAGAGAGAAGAGCAATATCGCTAATGGTCTGAGGAAGAAAATGGGCAGGAAATGAAAGAAAGTTGACAGGGAATGAAAGAAATGAGTTATTTAAAAATATTGCACAGTTGCACAATATTGCCCCCAGCAACTCTGTAGATCATTTCCTAGAATGTAGAGAGGATTTGAAATATTTTTAAAAAATGGCTAGAAAAAGCACTCAAAAAACTTCCACATTCTCCCTGCATCAAATATACATGCAAAAAATGTAATAATGAGATATGTTAAAATTGATAAAAATATAGGTGATATAAAGACAACGGTTTTTAAAAAATCTTTTTGAAATGCCACTTTATAGCAGGTAGTGCTTAAATTACATTTTTAAAGTATGGTGTTCAAATGCATTTTCTTTCTTTATTTTCCTGGAAATCTGATTTTCTAAAGGCCATTAGCTCCACTCCAGTGTGGCAAAGGCTAAGGGGCCAGAATCATGGAACTACTGCAGATGCTGATTTTGACAGACAGAATGAATACTACAGAGTCAGACGACCATCTTTTGTCAACTGTGGAAAGGAAGTCTTGTTTGAAAATTCATCCTTCAACATTGATTCTTTTGGGTCAGGAGTGTAGCCAGACATTCGAAAATGCCACTGGTTCTAGCTAGCATATGTATTCCACCTGAGATGAACAAGATCTGGTCTTATGTCACTGATTTCTGTTCTCTCCCAAGCCCTTTACAGCCATGTGGGAAAGAAATGCTTTCCTTCTAAATTAATGAGGTTCCTCTAGCAGTTACCTGGAAAGGGCAGAGAAACCACATTATAACATCGAAATATCTTTTCTACAACAGGGATGACTACCGCGTTCTCTTTAATTTACCATGAATTTCACTAATATGTATTTAGCCTCATTGTTCTTTTTCAGGAAAATGGGATCAGTGAGATGAACTGATTTGTGATATTTCCAGGTAATGAGTGCAATTTCATATGCACTTTAAACATTCACTCTTAAATAGGCCGTCCAGACAGTTGCATCGGCTCCCTTCCTCACTGCTAAGCCCTCAGGTGTAACGTTTACCCTGCCCTGGGCTATGGAAGGCTTTCTGGGAACCTTTTAGAACGGTCAAGGGCATAAAGGAAATACATGCGGAAAGGGTGATCTTTTATAACCACTATATTCAAGTCAGGATTCGGTCTGACACTGAAATATACTTACTCAATGTAATTTATAGAAAGTATGTAGTTACTGAGTCTGAAAAATATCAGATCAATAACCCGGAAGACAAATAGTGATATTACCCACTTCACTCAAACTCCTGACAGATGGCGAGAATGATGACAATGTAATGTCCTTTCTGCATTGTGGTGGGGTATAAAAAGGATATAAAAGGAAGGACCAAGAGTACTTTTCTGCCACCATTACCTCTCCTTTACTTTCATGACATCCTCTTCTGTAAAGTTATAAAAATAAGTTCCTTTAGGAGCTATCAGTTTGTTTTGGGATGGACAGATGTTTTTGTCACACTAAACTTGGAAAAAATCCATTTACTATACCTGGAACCACTCCATGCTGTGTAAGGCACTTTATTTCGTAAAGTTATTCTAAAAAGATTTAAGTTGATAGCTAGATATGCTAATGTTTCTCTCACTAGAGATTCTTTCAAGATACCTTAATATGCCAATTAAGTCATTTTAGATGAAAACCTGCAGCAAGGATCCATACAGAATTAAAAATCATGTAGAGTCAACCATTTTTCATTTATGAATTCATTTAAGCAACTGGTAAGTGAAAAGGGGAAATGAATGATTCAATTGTGTGTGTGTGTGTGTGTGTGTGTGTGTTTTAAAGATGTTTGGCTGCCATTCTGTGGAGCAATATAAGGGAGTCTTTTAACTTATATGGATCAGGTTGGTAAGTTAGAAAAGATGACTCCACTGTATTTTGTACATTTGGTTTTACCAATCGCCATGGTATAGATCTGATATAGAATAGCAGGTGATGGATATAAAGTTCGGTCTGGAGGCTTCTGGTCTCTGTTCCGACCTGAATCTCCGGCCTCGCCACGAGCAGCACGATTCTCCGGCACTCATCGCTGGAGAGCAATGCCACTGCTTCTTCTCGATTCTGGACATCTTCCCCATTTATCTAGAAAACATATGAAAGTGGCACATTAGTTTCCATTTCCACAATGCTGCACACAATAAATGGCAAATATCAGCTCATTTATGGTAAATGTATGGACAATGAAGCTCACACAATGGGCTCATCTTCTGCCCCTCAGTGGTAAGTGCCTTCACTCAATTACGCGCTTACTGTAAGAGCCATATCGATCCCTGAAGGATGGCGGACATCAGAGGAAGCAGTTATGTTCATAAATGTCCAACCTGCGCCCTGGCAACATACATCTAGCAACACAATTAACCAGCCCCTGACAGGTGACGTTCATCTTTCTCCGCTCAGAGTAATGGAAGTGTCACTCTGAGATAATAGTGCTGGGGGAAGCAGTGTGGCAATACCACAACTGAAATCCGTCATCCTGCATGCTCGCTGCGAGCCAATTAGAGAGCTGCGGTATTATCTCTCACCAGGCCACGCTCCCAGGCCACTGATGATTGCGTTTTCATTTAATCATTTCATATCTGTGTGAGGGTCTGACTCAGTTGTCCCAAATCACTCTCAGAATGTCTTTCAGTGCTAGTCTAATCAAAAGAAGGAATACTTAGTAACATCCTCATCATTACTCCAGTTCCTCTCTAAGATTTATCCTTATTCTAAAACAGTAAAATGAATGCACTATCTTAAGATTCACCTCTTAAGTGTACTTAAAATACTTTTAAAAATTAACACAGAGTAAAATGAGCTTCTTTGCAAGAATGCTTTGTGAAAGAAATTGAGCTTGAGTAAACTTTTGACTAAAAAGGAAAGACTCCGGTGGCATTTAAAATATATCTATTTTTTTTCTTTTTCTAAGTTCTACTGACAGAGCAAATGAGGTTTCTAAAATTTGTATGTGAAACTACATTTTCATGCTTAAATGTATTTAGCTCTTAGTCAACCCGATTATTTTCTTTGGATATTTTAAATTTATTTTGTCTTATTGATTGTTCAAATCTGTAAAGACAATGAGATGTTTCACCCATAACCAAAATATATGAAAATAAATTTCAGTTGAAGAGGTCGACTAATTCTATCTCAAATAAGTATTAATTATATCAACAAATTAAAATGTGGCTGCACTGGCCATTTTCTTTTCAGTAATTAATCTAACATCTTTCACTAAGGATTTCTGCTTAAAAGCATGAATTAGACTACCGAGGTTTTCTCGTTGTGGGTCTCTAGGATTCTGGCTGATATTTGAGGACAGACTTAGTTATTTAAAAAAAGCCCAGGAAATCTCAACTTTGAGTCATAATAAATGATCCAAATCTCTAGACATTTATATACTTAACACAAATAAAGCAAACAATAATAGGCAAAGGAGGGAAAGTCACACAAACACATGTTGTATTTTCTTACTCTGATCAAAGGAATATCCATTAGTTTTTCACTCGTATATGGAGACAGGAAATTCTGATTTTATTAGTTTTAAGTGCATTTTCTTTTCTTTTTTTTCAATTCACAAATAACATTTACTAAGTTAGAAAATAGAAGCTATGATTCCAAAACGGAGACTAACGACTGGGGAGCATATCTTGTTGTTTTTTCATAAATATATATTTGAAGAGGTATTTTCCTACTGAATCCAAGGCCATTTTTCCTTAAATGAAGGTATGTTGGAGGAGATGGAATCCACGATGTCTCTTCCACCCCCAATTAGGTGTAGTTTGAAAACTTTTACTCTCTTTGAACTTTGAGGATTTATGTCCATTTCATAGAAATTCTTAGTAGTATATCTGCAATGCATCTACTTGCCTGTCAATCATGAACCTAGTCACCTCCCCTCCACTACAGGCACATTTGATCCTAAGGGGATTGAGTTGGATGATCTTACATAGCTTATCTTCATCTTTTCTAGTTAAAATAAAATTCTCACTACTTCTCCCTCCTACTCTCCATTCGAATATGTACACATACTGCCAAATTCTTCATCTAACTTTCACTTACCAGTAATCTAAATACTTTTTCATGTATGTTAGTTTAATGTTTCTATTATATTCCAAATATTACGGTGCAGATAATAATAGATAATAATACCTTTTTTAAAGAGGGCTATTATAAGGATTAAATGAATTAAGATATATAAATATGGGTTTCAATAAGTGCCTGGCACACTTTACTGTTGATGCTATTGTTGTTACTACTGTCATTATTTATATTTTAATCTTCTGTCAAGGAAAATTATTTTCTTCTAAATAAAGCAAATACCTATATTAAAATTCATGCACAACAATTAAATTCACAGTAGTAAACATGGTTCTATTTTAAAACGTCTCTTACAGAGCCATCAAGAAGCAATATATTTCTGTTTCATTTTAAGTCCTTTTATAGTTGATATGCATCTCTCTCCTCTTTGAAGTCCTAATGACCTAGAGCTATGGTCTCCGGACCTGGAAGTCAGTCCTTGTTTTTTTGGGGAAGGTGCTTATCAGATCATATGTTTTAGAAACACTTTGACATTCAGAATCATATGTGGAATGAAATGAACTTGTCACTGATACCTGGCATTAAATAGTGGTGTTTTGTTGTTGTTTTTCAAAACAAAGGCCACTGTAGGCAACTGGTTGGTAGGTCCTATTGTCCTCAGGACTTTAATTTGATCCCCTAACTGATGTTGGGGCAAGACCTGCAGCCATGGGTTTCAACAAAGATGCTTCTCAAGGAATGAGAAGATCTGAGGAATGGAATCAGCTAGAGCTTTCACCCTTCATTTGCTCTTATTCCTGCATGGTGGCTTGTAGCTACAGGATCGCTGGTGGGGAGTGGCTGCAAACACCAGCAGACAAAGGTCAGGACCCAGAAACAAGGGGAGGAGACAGATGAGTAGCATCTCACCGCAATTTAATGGGAGGCTTCCCTTTTTAAAGAAGAGAGGGACGGGGAACCAGGAGAAGGCAACATGCAACTTCTGTTGTAAATGAAGAACAACTTTGCTAGATAATATATCTGTCTCATTTTCTGTGGATGGCGATACGCAAATATTAGTTTCAAAATGAGTATTGCCTTAGCTGAGAGGAGGTTTGTGGCAATTACACAGATATATCAGGGAAGATCTCACTTTAGGCCCAGTCTCTTACATGTATGTGCATATGAGCATTGTGTGTGTGTGTGTGTGTGTGTGTGTGTGTGTAAAATGTTAAAATCCTAGAAATGGTTTAATGTAGCTTTTTTGCTTGACTATACCAATTTTCAGTTTTCCTATTTTAGTATATCAGAGGCAGCTGGGCAACTAAAATCGTAGACATCCAGCCACCTAGGGAATTTCTTATTTGAAAACACAAGACTCTTAGGCAGAAGAGAAATGATTCATTTCAAATGGGTTCATATTTTAAGGGGGAGAGGAAGAAGGTGGATGAAGTATAGAAATGTAGAGATGGGTAAAACAGAAATTGGTGCAAACGGTTATCCAAAGGGAAGAAAATAAGATGAGCAAGAAGAAACGCTGAGGACCACTCCGTGTGTAGGGGAGAGAAAGAAAGAGAGGGCTCGTTAGGAATCTTATGTCCCACTGTTCTGAGTTTTTGCCGGTTTTTGTCCCCAGGTAGTCCTTAGAAATACAACTGACTGTTTTGGCTGACATGAAATTAGGCTGCTTACACAGAATATTAAATCATATTATCCCAAGGAGAAACTGAAAATATAGCAGTCTCTCCTTTGGAAAGATGATCACAGGTGGCATTTAATCCTTCCCCGCTGGCTCAGAAATGCCTGGTCTTTATTTGGTGCTGCAATTTTGTGAGAGGACTTCCCCATATTAATTCCCGAGGACACATCTGATACCACAAACCTGTGGCAAAGGCACAGCAGATAGACTTGTCAAGCACTTGCAGAGAGAAAACACATAGGTGATAGCCGGAATATGTTCTCAGGAAGTCAGCTCATGCTTTCGCTTCTGCATAATCCCTACCCTGTATCAACCTCCTGCAAGGATCTGTGTGTGGATGGTGTCACTGGGTGAGGTCATCTAACAGGGAGGGCCAGGGTCTAAGTCATTTGGAAAAATTTAGCTACACAGTGAGGGCAGGATCACAGAGGTACTCTACTTAGGTCCTCATGAGCAGGAGATTAAAATCACAATCGCTCTAAAGAGATTCATTTAAATAAAAGCCAGCCAGGAAACTTGAAGGATAAGAAGTAAATCCCCCCTTTCTCCCACACTCATCTCCCTGGGAAAGGAGTCATTAATTCTTCATTACAGGGTATCCCCTAATCTCCCCATCAGCCATGTGGGAGCTATTTGTCTGCGGGTACAATTTTGTCACAGTTTTCTTTAATATAATTTCACTATCACCCTTAAGACTCTTTGTTTCCTGTGTGTGCAGACAGAATTGAAGGCTTTTTAATGTGACATGTATTTATTCATTAAGTGTGACATATTTCCACTGAATATAAAGTAACCAGACAGACAATAGCACTGTATCAGTTCTGCTGTTGTTTTCTCCATGAACCAATGCCATTAAGCAATGCCATATTGCCTGGCTAGTGTGGCTCAATGGTTGAGCATCCTCCCATGAAACAGGAGGTCATGGTATGATTCCAGGTCAAGGCACATGCCCGGGTTTTAGTCTCAATCCCTAGTAGGAGGCATGCAGGAGGCAGCCAATCGATGTTTCTAATTTATGTTTCTATCTCTCTCTCTCTCTCTCTTTCTTTCTCTGAAATCAATAATATACATATATTTGAGGGGGGGCGGGTCCCTCAGCCCAGCCTTCACCCTCTTGCAATCCGGGACTGCTGGCTCCTAACCACTCACCTGCCTGCCTGCCTGATCACCTCTAACCACTCTGCCTGCCTTCCTGATTGCCCCTAACCACTCGCCTGCCTGCCCGATCACCCCTAACTGCTTGCCTGCCTACCAGATCACTCCTAACCACTCTGCCTGCCTGCCTGATCACCCCTAACTGCTTCTGCCTCAGCCCTCGCCACTGGGGCTTCATCTGGAAGGACGTCTAATTAGCATATTACGCTTTTAGTATTATTGAGATATATATATATATATATATATATATATATATATATATATAGTAAAGAAATACCATATTATCCAGCAAATATTTTACCTAAAAACATTTTCTGCCCACAATATAGCCAACAATAAAGAAGTGTCAAAACATACAGTATGCATATGTGGAAACACATGTACTTGTTCCTACCCAACTCTAGCCACAGAACAAATAGACATAATTTTGAAAGCTCTATTCGTGGACCTAGCCTGTGGGAAAGTGGTTATCTGAAAACCAGGGAGGGAGCTAGTGCGGGCGCAGAGGGTACTGGGTGTGGCATGCAGATGTGAGAGGAAGAAGTGGCAGATGCACACAGCAAGGGAACAATGACAAAATATAGACCCGACATATCAGAAAATGTAGCCAACTAGAGTCATGTTATATGGGGAACAAAATTTTCCAGGCCTTTTAGCCATTGAGCATTTCACTCTATTATTGCATTGTGTAATGACTACTGGGCATAACATGACCCTGAGCGTCAAAAAAGGTTACATCCTTTTTGGTGTACTTAATTGGAGATGTTAACAAAGTGAACTACATTTAAAATTCTTTCCGAATAAAAAAAATTAAAATATTTTTGAAGCTTTCATTATAGATGATACCTTAAAATGGTACCCTTAATTCTTTTAAAAATATATATTTTATTGATTTTTTACAGAGAGGAAGGGAGTGAGAGAGCCAGAAACACTGATGAGAGAGAAACATCTATCAGCCGCCTCCTGCACACCTTCCACTGGGGATGCGCCCGCAACCAAGGTACATGCCCTTGACCGGAATCGAACCTGGGACCTTCCAGTCCGCAGGCTGACGCTCTATCCACTGAGCCAAACCGGTTATGGTAAGGTACCCTTAATTCTTGTTGAGGCTACACAAGTAAAGCTTTACTGCAGATTTTATTCATCTATCCTATCACGCTCTCCACTGAATATGTCTGTTTCACTTATTCACATGTGCATGAGAAGACATTAAACATATGGGATTAAACAAGACGAAGCCTTGGTTTCCAGGTTCACTTTCCTTCCCTTGATACGGTCAATGCCAGACACAGTCCAGTTTGCTAACTATAGGCCACCACTTAGGGAGCTCACGGAAGTAGAAATGATATATGTATCCTGGAAGTTTTCTGCAAACTAGTGGGACCATGACTAATTCATACTTTTATTCTTTTTAAATTGGAGCCCTAGTAAAGGGTCCTTGATGGAAAAGGAATTCTGTGGCATCCAGCGAGAGGAAGGAAAACTATGCAGAAGCGATGTGACTCAGTGCGCATCACCCTGAAGACGGGGAAGAAGAAAAGCAGAAGGCTGGGCGGGGTAACCCTGTGGGGTGCACCTGAAGTGGCAGGGGCACACCTTCATCATGTACCAGTATTTGTAATCAGCTGTGTATGCGGCCGTCTTCCTAATTACACGGGCACCGCCCCAAATGCTGGGATGGCATCTTGTCTATTTTTGAAGTCCTGTTCTAGGCACCTTGTTGAATCCAAATGTGTTGAGTTCAAAGAAACATTCTCTGGGGGTCGGTATGTAGTAAGAAGAAATGGGAACTATAGATCTGCCCTAATGACCAAAACTTTTGCAGAACGTTTTAACAGTTTGTAGCGTCCCCAGTTTGTCTTTTGCGTCCTCCCTCTTGTTTTGCAGCGGAACTCAACTCCCAAGGGCCTGAGCAGCCAGGTGGCTTTCTGGAGCCATTCTTCCTGGGAAAGGATTCAGGAGGGACAGAGTGGATCCAGGCAAAGTTAGGACAGAAACTTTGACTCTTAAGGTTATCTCTGATTTGGCCCCGAACTTTTCCAGTTCTGCAGCCCTCCTATGACCTGCTGACCTCTTCTCTTATTCGGCTGAAATGTAATGTTTCTATGTTTTCATGTGGAAAAGAAAGCATATTTCCCCCACCTGTCTTGAACAACTTATCAGTAAATAGTTAAAACTTCTAGCCTTCTAGGCTTTCATATAGTAATGGAACACTGGGATTTCTCACCTAAATTATTCTGGAAAAGGTAGCAATAACCGCTGCTGCTGCTAGTAATAACAGCAATGAATGCTGATTCCTCACCATGCACTGTGCTAAGAATATCACATGCATGATCACATCTAACCTTTGCAGCAATGTTTTATCATTATAGTTTTTTAAGATGTGGAAACAGGCTTACAAGAGAGTAAGTAATGTGCCCAAGTAAGTGTGAAGCTGGAAGTTAGAGTTAAATTATCTGAGTTCAGAGAGGGTACCCTCATCACTAATTATTAGCTAATAATTTTTAATAAATGGCACCATCCTCACTGGAAAAGTTATACCATTTTGTTTTGTAGATGTCACTACCCAAAGCAAAATCAACTCCTTTTCTCTAACATTTTATGTTGGACACATGCCCTGGCAGGTGTGCTCAGTGGTTAGAACATCAGCCCTTGCACCAAAGGATCTTGGGCTCCATTCCTGGTCATACCTGGGTTGCATGTTTGTCTCTGTCCCTGGCCGGGTGCATGGGAGAGGCAACCAGTCCATGTGTCTCTCTCACATCAATGTTCTTCTCTCTCTCTCTCCTTCCTTCCCTCCCTTCCTGCTGCTACTCTCTAAAAAGCAATGGAAAAAATATCCTTGGGTAAGGATTAATAACAACAACAAAAAAACAACATAAAACAAACAAAAAGAATTGTAGGAAACTGAAGGAAATAACCACACCACATACTTGCAAAATACGATCCCCTTCTCGAATCCGGCCATCTTTGGCAGCAATACTATTTGGATCTACCTGCAACAGAGAGGACATACATCTTCAACCGGATCTGCGATTTCTCCCCCCAAAATTTAAAACTATGGTTTTAAAAAATATTTCTAAAAACCTGGTTCACGATTCTCTATTGATTTATAGAGTGCATATCAAATGTTTCTCTGTGAAAAAAATTACTGGTTTTACAGCCACAGAGTATTCCATGGTGTAAATAAATGTATCCCAGCTTTTTTATCCACTCACTCCTCTACTGCTGGGCACTTGGGCTGTTTACAGATCTTGGCTATTGTAAAGAATGCTGCTGTGAACATAGGAGTGTATATATTATTTCTGATTGGTGTTTCATGATTCTTAGGATATATCCCCAGAAGTGGGATTGCTGGGTTAAAAGGTGGTTCCACTTTTAATTTTTTGAGGAAACTCCATACTGTTTTCCACAGTGGCTGCACCAGTCTGCATTCCCACCAGTAGTGCAAACGAAGATTCCCTTTTCTCTGAAACCTCACCAGCACTTGTTGTTTGTTAATTTATTGATGGTAGCCATTCTGACAGGTGTGAGGTGATATCTCATTATACTCTTACCTTTATAACAGCATGTATAGACCTGGAGATTATCATGTTAAGTGAAATAAGCCAGTCAGAGAAAAATAAATACCATATCTGGAATCTAATGACCAAAAGAAACTGGTGAACAAAATAGAAACAGAGGCATGAATATATGGAACAGACTGACAGAGGTCAGAGGGAAGGAGGTTGAAGGACACTGGCTGAAACAAGGTGAAGAGATCAGCCAAAAAACATACATACATAGCCCATGGACATAGACAACAGTGTGGTGATGGCCTGAGGGAGGGTGGGCAGGGGCTGGGTGGACGTGGGTAAAAGGAGGGGAAAATGGAGGACATCTGTGATAGTGTCAACAATAAAAAAAATTATACGGAAAAAAAAAATGTTGATTCTAAAAATGTAAATAAACTGCTTTAGAATTAATAATAATACAATTAAAAAGACTAGAGAAACCTTGATTTGAAGACCATTTTTCCTTCCCTCCCTCTCTTTCTTCCTGCCTTCCTTCCTTTATCTGTTCTTCCTTTTTTATATCATTCACTCATTTCTGTAGCCCAACTGTCAGACATGGTCTTCAGCTGATTCTAATACTTAGGATTCTCTGGACCAAGAAAATTTACTTTCTACTAGGGTGATTTTTAAATCCTGCCTTCGCTGTCTTAGAAAAGCTGATAGCTATACTGTAAGTCTATACTTTTTAAAGGATTTCTGTCTCATGAGCACATTAATTTATAAAGAGATTTATAATCTATGTTGCTTCAAAATTAAAAAGTCCTACCCATGTAGATTATTACTAGACACTAAATATAGGGTGAAATATATTAACTAAAATGTTTTAGAATAAATAGATATTTAGGGCGCAATTAAGATTTTATCAATATTTTAACACATCAAACTTAAGTGTTGACTTACAGTTTACTGGGGGTAATTCCACCTATCACATTTCACACGATGGCTTCAAATAACCATTTATTTGAGCTTATTTCATCAAAGTTTGTTGTTGTTTTTTTTTTGTTGTTGTTGTTGTTTTAGCAACCTATTTCAAGTGTTGCATGAGGTTGATCCATCCTATCCAGATGTTAGATATTACTTGTTTATTAGGTGGTGCCACCTAATAAATGAGTCTTAAGTGATCAATCAAAAACATGCAAGAGGTATAAGAAAAACATTTCTTCCAATACGTGTGTTCAGTTCCTGTGGCTTGTTTACTACCCCTGGAAAATAAAGTTCTAAAGCTGACATATTTAAATAGTAAACAGAGACTTACTAGGAGGAAGTGAGGAGTGATTAATCAATTGTAACCTGTTTAGAAGCCATTCAGAATCTAAAACTTTGTCCTCAGAACTGTTATTAAACTTCTACATTTGTCCCTCTGTACATATTACAAAAGAGAATCCTGCAGGTGTTTTCCTTATACTTCCTCACCATAATTGCAGGGATTATCATAGCTGTACATTAAAAAGATGCATATAAACTAGATATTTGCTATAGATTTTTCCATTGCAAGAGCCAGTCAGTAAATTCTTTTTTAAAAAAATTATCTTTAATGTTGAAAGTTTACAGATGTCCTCTTCCTTTTCCCTCTTTGCTCCCTCCCCAGGCCTGCACCACACTATTGTCTGTGTCCATGGGTTATGCATATATGCATATAAGTTCTTTGGTTAATCTCTCCCCGCCTCTCTGAGATTCATCAGTCTGCTGCATGCTTCAATGTCTTTGGGTCTATTTTTTTTTTATCAGTTTATCTTGCTCATTAGATTCCACATATAAATGAGATCATGTGATATTTGTCTTTCTCTGGCCAGTCAGTACATTCTTTGGTAAAGTGATAAAGAGTAGAATTTACATTTATAGAGCTGTATAGTTTTCTAAGTGCATTAATTACATTATCTTTTACATTGTCTAAACATCTCTTTAGAAACAATGAGATAAGCATTGCTGTACTAAGTTTCTAGCTGAAGAAACTGAAGCTCAGTAAGTCAGGTAATGTTTTCAAGATCATGGCCAAGAAAACTTGGAACAGCAATTAGTATCTAGTCTACTTTCGGCATATATATATACACACACACATATATATACATATATATACACATACATATACGCACATGTACATTTATTTATACATGCATATATGGAGGATTTAGATAATATATACATGTACATATGCATATATACATATATTTACATAAAGAGGTGATTTTTAATCTTAAGTATATATAATTAAAAAAATCATACCTTACCACTTCTCATAAAAATGATTCTTTTGGGAGTTAAAAAAAATCACCTATAATAATAAATTTTGCTTCACAATTTTTCAAAGTAATTAACACGAAGGGTGTTTCACATTCAAGTACCTCATTTTTTAAATAGTAATTATGGGGTTGCATAAAACAAACTAATAGATGCATGCCTTGAATATTCAAATTTATTAATGCTGTCAGCAGAGTAAAATATGTGATTGTTGTGAATATTAGATTTAGAACAATTAGTCAATGCTATTGTTAACAGCACTGATAGAAGACACAGTGGAATGGAAGGACAAATGTTTGCTGATCAAAAACTTTGCTTGACTTCTTGCATACTTATGGGCATTTATTCAAATTTAGACAATGTTACTATTTTTGCTTTTTTCCCTTACTGGGATTCTGTGGTGAAAGATCTGCATTAAACAAGCTGATAATAATTACATTACTTGGGCACCATCATTTACTTTCCTAATTGAAAGTGACAAGTGTTGGAACATGGCCAATTCTTCACATTCAAGCCTCCCAAGGATTTTCTCATGGTGAGTCACTTTACTCCATTCCTCACAGTCTCCCTCCTCTGACCTCGCTCCATGGCCTTTCTTACCTCGCTGACATAAATGCCGGTGTCTTCTTCATCATCCGTGCGGTAACAGACTGTCAGGCCCAGCTTCTCTTGACTGCTAACACGACACAACTCGACCTCCTGAGAAAAACGCACGCACAGTGACATTTATCTCAGAGAGGAATCCCACAGCAGAACGGAGAACTCACGGATACTCTGAGTTTCCCTGGGCTGTTTTCATGATTGCCCAACTTCTGAAATTAAGTTGTTACCAAAATCATCAAAATAGACCTTCAATGTTCATTTCTATATATTTAAGCCAACATTTCCAATGTCATTGTATAGTTGGAAATGTGCATTTTTTGCATGAAATCATAAGCTTAAAACCCCTTAGAAATCACACAATGAAGTATAAGTAAATGTGCACACATTAATATGATGGAATCAATAACATATTTGAGAATGTCCAAGTAGATGGCAAAATGTTCATTAAAATATTGAGAGTCACTGTGTCTTTCTTTGTATTTTAATAAAAAACAGTTCAAATAAAAAAGACTATATTAGATTCTACATTAATTCTTCTTTTGAGTTCTATCCAATTAGATAATAAGCAAGTATTTTGTGTGGCTCAGGTCAAAGTTTCTATTATTTGGTAGAAGTTCTCGCCCTTGAGATGAAATGGGTTCATCCAGACTGAAGGGAGAGACCCATCAACAGTCATGTGGGCAGAGGCAATGATTCAAAATGCAGCAGTAAATGAACAAGGAAACACATTTACTGAAACACATGGCTAAGAGGCTTAGAAAGTCAGTCCTTAGGTAATGTATATTGAATCTATTTCCTGATTTATGTTCAGCAGAATAATAATAAATTTCAGTGTATTTCAGTTTTATATAATGAAATAGACTTGTACTATTCTCGGCAGCAGATGACTTTAGGATAAATTGCATAATTCCAAGGACTAAAACACAAATTGGAATTCTCATCCTGGAGCACCTGTTCCAGTTGGATGGAGAATATAAGGCCCTTTAGTAAATCACCTGATGAGAAAGAACAAAGTACATTTAAATAGAAACTGACGTCTGGATTACGTTTCTAGAACTCGGGCCCCGTGGGAACTGCAAACATTCCTGTCTTGCTTACTGCTCCTTCTCCATGGTCTACAGCAGGGATGCACTGAGGGCAGACACTGGTTGAAGGGTGATTGCTTTTATTTCAAAATCTGTCCTAAATGCTTGCAACTTTCTGTGAAATAATAATTAAGTCATCTTTACTCTTTTTTAAAATAATATTTTTTATTGATTTTTAGAGCGAGGAAAAGGAAGAGGGAGAGAGAGAGGGAGAAACATCCATGTGAGAGCAAAACACTGATCAGCTGCTTCCTGCACGCCCCTACCCAACCAACTGAGCCACACCCGCCAGGGCAGTATTGCCTCTTAATTGAAGGTTGATTGTGTGTGTGTGTGTGTGTGTGTGTGTGTGTGTGTGTGTGTGTGAATGAAAATATTTCAAAGATTGATATTAATAAATAATCCACCTAACTGTCTACAATCTGAAATAACTACCAGGACTAAATAAAGAAAAATTCACTTTATTTTAAACAAGAGGATACTTCCCAGTATATTCTGCGTTACATTTGAAGTAGCCTCCCTTTCAATTTTGCATTTCAGTGAAGTCTTTGTCTTTGAATAATAATCATTTATTTTAATGACATGCTATAAACCACAGGTAAATCCTTAGCAAGGGTAAACTATCATAAGCTCCAGTGACCAATAATTTCACAGCTAATATGAAATCAAATAAAATGGCAATCTCCTATCTTGAGACATGCACTTCAAATTGGTGAATCACATAAAACAATGAATGCTGACTTTCTAACTGGTGGGCAAATATACTCTAAATTACATTACAATGATTAAAAAGGGCATGGTGTATGCTGAACAGTAAAGAAAAAAAGATGAAAAATCTTTTCACCTAAAGGAAGAATTGGGGGGAAAAGTGATATGATTTGGCACCAGAAGCAAAAAGTAAAACCGAGCAAGGGTATTTTCACAACTGGCAATAATTAATGCCTCCAGAGGGAAAGACTACTTGACTAAAACTGGGACATTAGGAAGGAATTACCACAACAAAAGAGCTCCAATTACAGCAGTGAAGTACACAGTTGAGGAGTAAAGAAGCTTGTGATTCCTAAGAGGACTACAAGGAAATCTAAACACCCATAAAGAACTGAGATTGGGACCTTTAAATTCAAGCAAATGAAGAGCCTTCGTTAAAAGCTGAAATCCATTGACTTTTAATGTCCTGCCAACAGCACAGGAGAAAGTCCCTTCCCAGTGGGAAGTTGTTTCCCAGGGGAGCATTCCTTTCCTGAGTGTGTTCTCCACTTGCTCAGTCAGTGGTGTGCCCTGGCTTCATGACTGTTTAGAAGATGCATATCAAAATACTTTCCAATAAAATGGAACCGATACATTAAAATAAAAAGGGCTGCCCAGCTGGTGTTGCTCAGTGGTTGAACATTGACCTATGAACCAGGAGGTCATGGCTTGATTTCAGGTCAGGGCACATGCCTGGGTTGTGGGCTCAATCCCCAGTGTGGGGTATGTGTTATGCCCAGATTTCAGGATCCCCAAGAGACCACCAGGGAGCCAGCCGTGTCCGATGCAAAAGCAAAGAGTCTTTGTTCGAGCTAACTCGAGCTCCCCCACGCTTGCCGACGCAGCGGCAGGAAGCAGAGAGAGAGAGAGAGCTTTGTGTGGAGCGGGGTTTTATAGGGGGGGTTGGAGTAAGGGGAGGAGAGAGGACTGGGGGCCCTGCCGATTGGCCAGGTGCAAGCCGGTGTCTTGTTACACAGGATGTGGTTGTGTCTATGGTGCGCACTTCCCTTGATTATCATTGGTTAGTTTAAAGAAATCCTAGGTGTGGCTAGCAGAGGCTTGCGCTTCCGGGAAGAAGCTCCTTGCTGAGCACATGGCCGCTGCCCAAAAATGGAGGATTCAGGGCAAGATGGAGGGCGTAGCCCTCCCTTTCAGTATGCAGGAGGCAGCCAATCAATGATTCTCTCTCATCACTGGTGTTTCTATCTATCTCTCCCTCTTCTGTCCTCTCTGAAATCAATAATAACATATTTTTAAAAATTAAAAGGGCAGAATCTACCCTTTTTACCACAAATAAAAGCATTTACCCAAGAATCACAGGGGAAAGAAGACTAAGATCCTGAGGTCAAAACAACTTTTCAATATTGTCATCATATTGGACCTAAGCGAATGGGTGAAACAGGTCTCAGTGTTCCCTACAGCACCTTTGTTTTCAACATCTCCCTTTTATAAACACTCAGCACCCTCAGAATTAATTTGATCTCCCTGACGTTCTTAAGGACTGCCTGCCTGTCTAGGTAGCCAGTGGTGTTTCAGGTGTGCCACCACGATTACCTGTCTGCTAAAAATATCTGGGGTTTGGTATGATCTTTCATTCTCTCAAAGGTAGCTCTTGAGTCATAAAGAAAATTGGTAAGTCCCTATTTCTTAAAGGGATCATCATTAAAATTACTTAAAATGTGGGCCATCCAGGGGTCAATACATACTAATAAAGACTGAAAATACCAAGCTTTAATTCAAAAGACCAACTTTTTGGTGTCACGATTTCAGGCTCTGAAGGAAACTCAAGTGCGATTCCCTGGATGCCACAAACCACCACCGTACACCAGTCCCAAGTGTGGACCTGCATTTCTTTCTCTGGTTGAGAATGCCTCAGACACTACACATTGCATATTAGTACCCAGATGCATACGCTTTAGCATCAAAGTTCCTTTAATTGTATGACAAAATAACTAACACGCAGCTACCTGTAGAGCATGTTGTTTGCAGGAGGCAAGGGTGGCTTGGTCAAGCCTGATTCTCTGAAAGGAATGCTCGGGCACGGGTTGCATTTAGCATTCCCTTCACAGTGCACCCAGACTCTGATTTCTGAAGAAATAACCTCCGGTAATAGAGGATGCTTTCCCTAACAACGCCCCTACCTTTCCCCCTGTCACAGGGAAGCTGTTTGATGAAAGACATAAAAGTGAAATGCTACCTTCTGCACATTTTCTGCACGGAGACAATCCAGGGGCGTATACAAATCAAAGCCGAGCCGATGCTCCCCATCCATAAGTCATTCCTGACTGCGGTGGAAGGAGCACTTCACAGATCTGGGGAAGCTACATTCATTTTGGCTCCCGTGTGCTTTAAGATGCTATGTTCTGGGAATATGTACAAAGTCCCTTTAAAAAAATCAAATCATGGTATCTAATCCTGTGAGAAATTGATTATGTGGAGGTTGAGGGTGGAGCCTGAGATTGAAGTTAGAAAAGCTTGCTGTGAATCATCCTTCTAATCTTAGAATGACAAGAGGGGGGATTTTACATCCATCGGTTAGACGACAGTGCTGGGAAATGTATCTATTTTTTATAATTGGATCTAGGGAGAAAGTAGGAACTTAAAAAGAAATAACACTATGCTTGCTTTTGCTTTCTAGATAGGACTTTCCTGTTGGAGGAAGAACTGAGGCTTGCAGCCGCCTGTCACGGCTTTTGAAGCAAATTGTTTCTAAACTCCAAAGAGCTCAGAGGTCTGTGCCACAGAGGTTTTTCCCCTGATTGAGAAAATTCAGAGGCTGCCGGAACTACTCAAGTCTGGAGAAGAGCCAGAGCTAGACACGATGGTCACTGATATTAACTGACAATCATGGGAGAGAGGGGCTATTGTGTCCACACCTTCCTTTTTATGTAATTTGTTTTGCTGCTTTTTATTTATCAGACAACATATGGACTACTATACAAGTTAGTATTACTCATTGTCTTACATTTTGTATTTTTTAAAGATATTTTTATTGATTTCAGAGAGGAAGGGAGAGAGAGATAGAAACATCGATGATGAGAGAGAATCATTGATCAGCTGCCTTCTGCATGCCCCCAACTGGGGATCAAGCCCACAACCCCAGGGCATGTGCCCTTGACTGGAATCGAACCCGGGACCCTTTAGTCCCCAGGCCAACACTCCATCCACTGAGTCAAATCGGCTAAGGCCCATTTTGTATTTTTTTAAAATATAGTTTTATTGATTTCAGAGAGGAAGCAAGTGGGAGATAGAGATAGAAACATC